TACCTTCGAAACATTTACTCCAACTTTTTCAAAGGCGTTGCCATAAATAATTGTAGATTCACCACCACCACCACCTGGACGGTCCCATTTTTTTTTCTTAATTTTAGGCTCTCCAGAAAATTGCGCTTCAATTGATAAGAAAGATTCGACGATTTCATCTCTCAGCGTATAAAACCATCCCAATGCTTGTTTTTTTTGCGTTTCCATAATTTATATATTTACTTTTTAGTATTTTTTACTTAAGGTACACTGTATGTTATCAATAAATTAATAAGTCTATAATAATGATTTCATATAATAAAACATTTTTATATGAATAATGAGTAAAAGATATATAGATAATAAAAAAGAGAATAGAGTAGACTTTATCTTAAGAAAACATGGGATGTCAATTACAGTAATGGCTACCATTATGCTTCTACCTTCTATAGTAATATCAATACTTTACTTTTCTGAGGCATGTGATCAGCATTTTAACATAGAAATTAATTTAGTCGCTAGCACTCTAGCAACTTTATTTATAGCATATAATGTCAAGCGTTACAGGTGTATACTGAGTACCGTAGAGTTTCAGAACGCAATATTTGCAAATGCACTGAATCATAATACAGAATTTTGTCTGATTATACATAAAAATGAAGATATTGTTTACGCTGATGCAAGATTCTATGAAAGATTTAAAGATCATATGGGTAATAAAGCTTCCTTAAATCAGATTCTTGATGCAGGAAATATTTTAGAGGCAGACAAAAAGGCATTTTATAACGCCCTAAAAAATAATTCTTCTGTACAGATATGTATTTCCTTAAGTAAAAAGAACAGGTTATCTAACTTCCTTGTGCTTTTTGAACCCATACCTAACAATCCTCAAATTGCCATTAATGATAATAAAGCTTTAAATCTATCATTCGCACCCATAGCAAGGCCAAGTGGATATTTCGTTTTAAAAGCAATAAAAATAAATAAGGAGCAAGTATATGAAGAGCTAATAGAAAAACATAATATAGGAACTTATGTTGCAAATACTAAAGGAGTAATTCTGTCTGTAAATAAAAGTTTTTTGAATATGTTTGAGTTAAAAAAACTTGAAAAGGGTAGTTCAATTAATGATTTTACGTCACAGTCTAAATATAATAACACTAATGAAACTTTATTTGTTACTACGCGGGGTATTCCCTTCAAAGCTTATATGAGTACTGCTGTGTTTTGTGACAAGTATAATCACAATTATATATATGGTTTCATTACACCTATTGAATCAAATATTATTGACTACCAACTACATCCTTGCTTTACTAATTCACCGATTGCTATTGCGCAATGCGACATAAATGGCAATTTTGTAAAGAAAAATGTAGCGCTAATAAAATTAGCGGGGTCAGATAAAAATTCAAT